TGTATTGTGCCGGGTGTCAGATTAAACTTGACTTAAGCTGTTTTCGCAGACAAACTCAGGACAGCGTTTCCCTTTCTCACATTTAGCAGACAACAGGACACACTCTCAACAGCTGTAAATAGTCTAGTCCTGGCAAGAGTGCTGGCTAGGTAAAACATGCAAGAGGCAGGATGCAAAGTCCACCAGCTTTCTGTAAAATCTCCAGGAAAATACCGACTCAGTTCTCGATCAAATATCACACAGGTTTAGTAAAAAGAAGCTGACAGGCTAAAGATGTCAGATGGTTAAATTATGTTTGAAATGTTTTGGACCCCAACGCATGTGTGAAAATAAGTTTACTGTATGACTTTGCAACTGATTTTTCTTACGTTTCAGTAGTTTTGATTACCGAGTCTGTAGTCATGCCCTGGATAATAATGGCTTCTTTAGCAGCCATTGGCTCTTCAGCAAATAAGACATTTAAATATGGCAGCGGCTGATGCTAAACCATTGTGTCACATCAATCACTCAATGCGTGATTGTGTGACGAAGAGTTGGAAGACTGAAAACAGTGCAGTTGCTTTTTGATTTCTCTTTTTCCCGTGACAAATGGGGAAATAAATAACAACGACATTTAAAAACCATTCGCATTGCACATCTGCTAAATTGTCATTTTTAAACATCGGTATCAGCCTAGACTTTCCCGACTGGTGCGTCCTTAACTATTCTGTTCAGCAAGGTCATTAGTGTTATGAATATGAAGGTTTTTAACAGTTAAGGGGGAAATATCACATGCTAAAAACACATCATTAAGCCCTTCTGAGTAGGAACTTGCAGAGCATCCAGCTGCTTTGCACGGTCGTTGACATTTTAACCCAGCAACGATACCTATGATCAACTCTCATGGCAACAATGACAACCGCTGCCTCAAACCTCTCCACAAACACACAGAGCATCAGTTCTCCCCAGATACACTTCTTGACATTTTGTCTGTCTGACATCATCGACCACAGTGGGCCTGGGACCTTTGCGCTACAGACCACTTTTTAAAGCTAACAGAGGCTCCAGGGTCAGGTTGCTACATAGTATTCAACCAGGATTTATGCAAAGAAGCAAAATATGTTTTTTAAACTGAGAAAATTGCTGGAATATTTTATACAAACTGCCCTTTGCTTTCGAAAAAATTTGGATTTTTTTAAAGCCTCTAGGCTTATTCCAGTTATTAATAAATGAAAATATCCTGCATGGAGAAAAATTAAAATAACTGTGCGCCTATCCCAAAGGCCAAGAGCGCACAATCGGCTGTAATGTGCAGCTCACAGATGAACGTCTTGAACTCTTGCTTTTTTCAATTTTATGTTGTTTCTGAATTTTAATTACAGCACTAAAACTGGCTGCGCGTCCCTCTACCCTTTGCCGTTTATCCAGAGTCGAACTGCAGCGGTTGCATGCAAAGCGAGGTTGTCCAGCTGTCGCTGTCTACAGCTTCAATTTTTAGCTCCTCCTGGGGGATCCAGAGCCATTCCCAGGCCAGATGAGATGCTCTATATAGTGTCTCTAGTGCATATCAGGATGTTAATTAAAAAATTACAGAGCTACATCTAAAATGTTGTTTTTTTGTTTTTTTTTTAAATGAAGGCGTGACGATGTAAAAAGAAATGCAGATGTATGTTTTGGGTTTTGCCCTTTAAGGCAAGAAGGTAGGTCAACATGAACGTTTAAGACTTTTTCATCCCTGAGATCCTCTGCAGTGATTCCCACATGGAGTAAAGCCATCACAGATGGATACTGGAGCTTGTGTAGCACTGGCTACACAAATATGCAAACAACAACATAGCGCAATGCAAAGCTAAAGATGAGTCATTAATAAGAGCTCTCGATAATCAGGCTGTGCTGCTCTGAGGGCGATAATCATCGTCCGCCTGCTCTCCAAGTGATAAGCTAATCAGCCCTCCGTCTCTGCAGAGCCGTCGAGGGGACTCATCATCATTGACATTTCAGCACAGGATCGGGCCTATTGAGACACGAAGGGGAGGGGGTGGTTACCTGAAGAGACTTAATTATCATTGCTGCACAATGATATCCTCTTAACTCTATTTTGCCTTTTTTATGAAGGTTAACATTCCTCTTTCAACATTACAGTCAAGGTTTCACGGCTGCCGTTGACCCCTTTTGCAAAGTGCTTGTTAATTTTCCACATAATTACGCAATTGCATTTGCCATGTAAACATACAACGATCATCTATGCACACAACTCGCTTTCGAATTGTTTCCTCATATGCCAGGGCAATCTTGGAAAAATCAAGCCTCTGTCAGCAGCTCGCTTTCTAAGCAGCTGCAGCGTGAGTGTAGATGTTCTTCCTCAGACGAGACAGTTGTGTTGTTGCATGTTAAAATGAATTCATAACCTGTGGGGATACTGTCATGACAATCTGACAGCTTTTTAACAATACAGACCCAATGTAGCAGAGTCTCAGCTGAATATCTGTCATCCTCTCTCCAACCTGTGTTAGAGAGCTTACAGCATGGGGTCTAAAGCAGAACGCTCTCCTTCACTGGGGTTTTCTCGTTCTTACATTGCTCCAAAAACGCAGGAAGAGAAAGGATGTCATTACACAGCTAGTTCTAATCGAGATTAAATCTTCCTCCTGCCTTGTAAACTCGGCGCCAATAACAGTTCACGCCATCACCGGTTATGCAACAGATGCTACAGCGAAATGCAAAGAAGGATTCTGTGGCTCCCCGGCTCGAAATAACTTGCCCTCCCGTTTGCTTTGATCTCACAGGCATGTCTCCAAGGTGCGTCAAGACACGTCAAGGCACAAGATGACATATCTTCCAGCTCCATAATGACCCATCTTCTTTTTCCTCAGTGAAAATTTTGGAGAGCTCTGACAGATGATATTAGTTATACCCAGGTGCAAACAACAGGCTGACAGATTCATGCTGACAGAGCAGGCTAACGCCGATCACTATAGCCCGACTACCTGCTGTTATAAATATTGGAGCTGGTTCCAGTGGGGGGAAAAAACTTTCAAAGTAGTTTCTGTTGGGGATTACAGCATATTTGTAAATTATTGTGGTTCTTCTTGTCTGAATAATCTGAAACAATGGTTTACAACTGTGAAAATTCCCATAAACAGCTGCTGAAGTCGGTAAAGACTTTGGAAAGTCCCAAGAAAGTACACGAGTGTGCACATTAAAGTAAATATTTAGTTGAATCTAAGGTACTTTTGAGAAACCGTGCATATTCATGTGACACATAGCATTGTTTGTTTTACTAATGTTTAATCTGTAACATGGTAAAAGGACATAACTGAGAGTTCCAGTGTGCAGACTGACTTTGACTAGTTAGAAAAGCCATTCAAGTGCAACAGTGCTAATAGCAAGTCAGGTACATCAATATCTAAACAGCAATAAACTACAACACATAATCTCTGTTGTTTTAACATCTCAATTTAAAATCACAAATACAACAAAATCAGAGTAAAGACATTCCAGTACAGGGAAACAGAATCATGAAAAAACCTCATAAATGCAGCGATAACCTTGTATTTTAATGACCTTTCCCGTACGCGATTACTGTTATTTCTATCCATCAAAGGTGCGTTTTATAGTGACAGCAAAGTGTTTCTGTTATTCATGAGCAGGTTTATTTATACCTGCTTTTATTTTATGGAAAACGTTGTCACCGTTTCCTTAATAATCCCATTATGTCTCTGCGCCACTCAACAACTTCACAGGGACGTTATTTTTGGCACATGTTTATTCGCTGAGTGTCAAAGGTGCTGATCAGGAAGCTTTTTAGTTTAAAGATGAAATCCATCAAACAAGCTGCTCTTTGTGGCTCACTGTGCTGCATCCGGGACTTCGCGTACAATCATTGTAAATCCTCCTATACCCAAACACAGGATATTGCTCTAACTTATTTCTTATAGGTTTTATAAAACACTCGCAGTGTCTTGCATTGTGCTTACATCACTTAACAGTAAGTTCACAGCACCATTCGGCTGATATTTGCTGATACCATCAGTCAATATTGGCCACAGTTACATGCAACACTGCACAGAGGTAGATATATAGAAAGTGGAGTTAAAGTTTTTATGACCCCTATCTCACTTTATTCAACTCTGAGTGTTTTACATGTGTTTTGTTTGGGTTTAAGATGTCTAATTTGAAAAAAGAAAAGCACTGAATTAATTTTTTCAGATATTTTACTCTAAATGTTCTGGTATTGGTCTCTTAATTGACTACAGGGTGCCTTATATCATAATATTAACATTTACGTCATTTTATCTTCTTAAATTTGTATGCACTGCATGTTCGCAAGGCTGCTTCTTCTGCCGTGATTCTGGAGTTCGTGTATTTTTCATACAGTTCGTGTAGTCGATATTCATGCAGCCCTCTTGACAAGGTATTTATTCCTGAAGGGCCACCTCAAGAGCAGGGGCCGAGCCATTCTCATCCCCCGCAGAGAACGCGTTTCCCCATCAACACCCTGTTGCTCCACACGACGAGGACCAATTTTTGCCATTACTCTAATGGTTAGTAAACGGACCGGCAGTTGTGATAGCGCCCCATTTCACGGCCACGCTTCCCGACAGGTAAACACAGATTTCAGGTCAGCCGTGCTGTAAGGGTTTGTAGCGGCTCAGGGAGGATTAGGTTTCCTGAACAGTCACCTGCCGACGAAAGCGGCGAGGAATTAGGACAAACACCGCAAACCAGGAGAGCCACACCTCGCGTCGTGGCTTACCGAAACTCAACACACACACATGCACACACAGATCTGATGTAGAGCTCGGACAATAAACTTTTACAATAGGTCTCGGCGCTCTGAGCAGCAGCCAGAGAGGACGCGGAGACGTGACACCGTCAAACATCCAGCACTCCGGGAACGCGGGCTGCCCTGCTGGAAAAGTGCCGGGGGTTGCTACATTCAGAGAACAAGAGGCTACAGGAGGCGAAGAACTGACGGGACTTCCACTGTAAGAAACACAGCTGGGCTCGTTCACACTTACCTTGGGCTGCAAGCAGGACCGCTACTGCCACCAGCCAAGCGTTTCTCATCGGATACACCGGGCAGCGCGCTGCGTAATCTCTCGCCATTCTTATACACAGGAGATAAGGTGGACGTAATATCCACAACAGCGCCGTGCGTTTCAGCCGGGCTCCAAATTATTCCTTCTCCGATCAGCCAAGAAACTTCGAGCTCAGTTCAGACCGCCTGCGCTGAAAGCAGCCAAGTTACAGCTTCTCTCTCCTCCTGCCGCTCTGAGCGCGCCTCTCCTCAGTCTGGACCGTGATTAGTTTCTCTGTCCTTTGCTTTAATTCTGTTAATGACAGGAAGAGTCAGAGCCCTCCCCACGTGGACCGGCCGCAGTGCGCAGGCAGCCGGTGGCTGTGTTTTTGTGCCGGTGCGTCTTGTACAAGGCGAGCGGAGCGAAATGGAAACAAAGTGTGGACGGAGTGTGTGTGAGAGTGCTGGAGCTCCGTGTGTCTGATGCGGAGAGCTGAGTGGGGGAATATCAAAGTGATGTCAGCAGAGCGTCACCAAGAGGACTTCAGCCGCAATACTGAACCCTCACAGCCACAGACGCACAATCCGAGCGCGGTGCAGTTTAAAAGGTTAGAAATACAGAAGGGACGCATCTGCATACCTGTGCTGTGAGCTCCGGGTGTGTTCTGCTGACACCTGCCGCTTGTTTGTGTATATGTGCGCGCGCACGTGTGCGTGCGTGTGTTGGAGCAGATTTTCACTGTTGGAGATGGAGCATCGTCGTGATACAAACAGAGTAACGACATAGAATCTTTTAAGCAGTTAAGTATTTTTAATTTCATGCTTATAATATTTTTTTATTTGTTTCTGTTTCACTTTTCAGCGAAGATTCCGTACTTTCCCGGGAGCTGCCGCTTATTCACACGGTTACTGGTTATTTCCGGATTTCCCACATATGACTATATAAACTAGTGTTGGGGAACTACTTATACTCCAATCGCACCTTTTTATTTAGGGCAAGCAAAAACAACTAGCCTTTCATACTCTACAAGCAGAGTCCTTAAATTGAAGTCCCCAGGCTTCTGGGTAATATTTTCTGCAACCCTTAATCGTGTGGAGGTTACATTACTGTACATTTATTTCATCCACAGTTCTTGTTATTTTCTGAACAAATGTCCTACAAACTCTGAGAGTTTTAGGTCTGCGTTTCCCCAACTCTCTGTAACATACTTCATGCACTCAACCATCAGAAGTTTGAGCTCTCGTGCACTCAAGGTAAATCTTTGATAGCAAATTACCCTTTATGGAAGAGACCATCTATAACATTCAATTGTTGCTTTTGGGATTATATTAATAATTACATGATCTATGATAATAGCTTTTGTTATACTAATTTTAACAGACCACCTCTATTGCCACATTTTCTACTACAGATTAATCACAGTTTGTTCATCATGTAGAAACAAATGAAATGATGAAAATGTTTGCAATGAAAGCAGTGTCTTCACATTGGTTACTCTGTCTGACCAGCAGCCAAGAAATCATCAAAGTAATTTATTAAAATCACAGAAAAGCTTTGTCAGCAAATGGTAACTGAAGCTGGTTATCATGGATCAAAGTCATTATTGACTTCTGCCCTTCGATTTAGTGATAAATCATCTGACTATGTGAGTGAGGAATATAGTAAACAGTAGACATCACCGAGGGGGGTTTAGCATGCCTGCTATGAATCAATAAAGGTCATATTGTTCACATCAGATGCGATGTCTCCGTGGACTTCACATAATGCTTATTGTAATGGTTTTCTAGCCAAAGTTTTCTAAGAACTGAGGGGAAGCAGGTGCTCGGCTCACCTTGTTGAAGGCATTCCAAAGAGAGACAAACCCTTCTGTAGTTGGAATAGTCATCCTTCTACAACTACACAAGGTGACCCCCCCCCAAAAAAAAAATGTAAACAGATATTGATATGTTAAAATAATAATACTAATGCAGCACAAATCCAATATTCCAGAAGATTAAAGAGAATGTGAAATGTATATAAGTGTGATATCCCATCATTATAACTCAAAAGAAGACAAAAATATTAAAAGAAACATCTCAAGGAAACATCAAAGAGATTATGAGCTACTATTAATGCAAATGCAAACCATCAAATGGAGAAAACTAAACTTTCAAATCCAGATTTCAATTTATAGAATCCAGATTTTTGCTGTTTTATTTTCTCAGGTGTATTTTTAATGAAATCTGATGTTAAACATATTCATTTAGCTTCTTTTTTGGTTGTCGTAGTGTAAGTAAGTCCCAAAGTACTGCACAGCAACAATTTGACTTCTAGAAAAGCTTTGGAGACAACTCAAACCTCCATCGTCTGCATAAACATTCAGATTTCCACTTTATATGATGTATTTTGTTTCTTTGTCCAAAAGAACTACAAAAGAAATTGCACACATAAATTCAGGTTTGCAACACACGCGAAAAAGTCGTAAGGGATTGCAGTGGTGGGGGTTAAGTCTCTCTAGATGGATGCCGTCATTTACTTTGTTGTCCCTTCCACAGAAACAGTGATGCTGCGGGTTTTTTAAAAACAGAAATGGTTCTCCTCCACACACAGAGGACGTTTGCCTGTCTGTTTAAGACGATAAGGACCATCTTTGAAGTCCACTGCAGTGCTTTTTAAAGTTTCTGCTGAAATAAGTTGTACCAGCAGATTGACTGAGAAAGTTACTCTGTTCACAGCAACACACTGTAGAGGCGAAGCTCAATTAACTGTGTGATTGAGTCATAACTCCAAAATACTGCAGTGGGAAATATTTCTAATGCTGTTTGTGTTTTATAGTGATTTAAAATAAAACACTATCCAATATAAAATCTTTAGTTTATGCCAGTGAATAATACAGGTGACTGTTTATTCACACATTGGATGGCTAGATGGAATAATGGTAACATCAATTCAATCGTTTCACAAACAGACAGTTCGACTAAATTACTTAAAAGTTGTAAATAAACTTGTAAATAAAAGTCTGCCTCTTGGATTTGCAACCCTAGCACGTTGAAAGTGATTCATGTGGCACGCAGACAGGACATGCTGAAAGTTTTGCAGGTAATGTGAGAACTGGTTTTCTGCAAAACGCACAAGTGGGGTAGGTTAGTAATCAGATTTGCCTTTGATGTCTTTGTGTTTGTCTGATCCCTTAAGTGTACTTTTAAAATGCTGTTCAAATATCAGGTAACATTTGTACGTACCCACCAAATCAGTGTTTTTCATATGACGTAAATGAAAGCAGCTACCTCTAAATAATCGGGGTTTTGATTTACAAGAGGTAAATCAGAGTTCACAATTATGAAATAGTAGTTAAATAGTTAACTAGTTTAAAAACAGGGACCAGATCTGTTAACACTGGCAGTCAGTTACCCAGAGTCTCCCTGCAGGTGACCGGTGAAAGTGGCTGAAGGTGTTGCATGCTCCTGTTTTAGGGTCACTGAGCAGTGCTTATGTTGTAGTTGTAGGTGTGGTGACCAAAAACTATGTTCATGTAATCAGGCTGTATGTGTTTTATCATAACTAATTACCTGTTCACCCACATAATTAGAATGTGGACTTACAGCAGACAGTCTTTCATAGAATGAGTCTCACAGTCTGACAGAAAATAAAAGGGAAACAGATTTAACGAGGATGTACTTATCGCTTTTAAAATATTTATTTGGTAAATGGTTTTTGCTCAGCAAGTCACATTTGGAAAGCATTTTTTGGAAGGTCACCCAGGAGTCAAACCTCCAGCCTCACAAATAACGGTCATCCAGCTCCATCTGAGCTGCAGCTGCCTTCTAGTGCAACACCAAACAAATAAAATAAGACATATTTTTTTTCATACTCTAAACACTCTGAGAGTCTTGCCTGTGGTGAAAACGTATTTAAAGGCTTAAATAAAACATTGAGTAAGTTATGCTTTGCCTCCCCATACTGATATCAATATGATGAAAGATCTTGTTTTGCAGCTTACAGTAACAATGATGCCGTCGTGCTCCCACACCATCTGCAGTATCACAACAATCCCACTTATTCCAAAACCAGCAATCACTGTCACAGTAAAAACAACTCTTCATCACCCAGTCACAGCACCCACCTGTCTTTTCCAGCTGCAGTGTTACAGTGTAATGCACTCTCTGCTTGAGCACCATGATTTTTGCTTCAAGAAAACCAAATAACCACCTCTTTTATAGTGGAAAATGAATATAGGTCTCCCTGTACCTTCACTATTCAAAACATTTTACTGAAAAATAGCTTGCACAACTGCCCTCTGAGAAGCTCACCTCCCTGCATACCTCTAAAACCATCCCCACTAAGCTCCCACCATTTTGCTGGGTGGCGTACCCAGCCGCCCACCTCTCCATTATCACCTCATTAGCAGGCTGCAAACTGGCCCACCCTCCATTTTGGCTCCAGCCTCAATCAGCCCATTAATCACAGCAGAGCAGGGAAACCTTCTGTCCTCTGAAGACTCGCAATGTATTCTGCTGGCCCCTGCTGTGTGTGTGTGTGTGTGTCTGTGTGTGTGTATGGTCCTGCTGCAGCATACAAATGATCCAGCTATATCCTGCCATCTGTTGACTGCTAAAAGTAATGCTTCTACACTGACATACACAAAGTTCATGATGTTTTCTGTCTGTCTTTTCATCTTTATCTAAACACATAATTACGTGATCCAAGGTTTATCTCAGCAAAAGAACAGATGGAATATAGCACGCAATCACTGCAAGTCTTCATAATTAAATAACAAAGTGGTTGTTGTTAGTCCAAATTCAGCTCCTGAGAGTGTTTGCACGAACTATCAATGTGGTTGAAGAATTCATCATTTTGAGCCAACTACCTTTTACCAAAGGGCATGGAAAGATTGTCTTTATATTATTCTGCTTGAACTTTCAAAGTACTAAAAATATGTTACACTACAACTGGACCCAAGTCCTTAATATAGAATGACATTATTGTGGGCAGGTACAGACTAAAAAAGTCAGTGAACTTAAAGTGAAAGTCACATGTAGGGTGTGGAATAGTCCATTATCTTTTTTGGAAGGAAAACTGTGATCCAGACAGAGCAATGATGGATGGATGGATGGCAATATTTTACAGTACAGTACTGCTGGTGGGTGTTTCTCTGAAACCCAAAATCAACTTTAATGTTTTTGAAAACAAAGCCCACCCCCTTGGCCACAGTAATCCCCTACAGCTCAATCCTCCTGCAGCTCATGAAACATGAGAAAAAGCCCAAAGTATTGCCTCATCCCCCAAACTCTCTAAATGCCAGTATGACTCAGCATCCATGAGATGCACCATAAAAAAGCCCAGTGCACCCAAAGTAGCTGCCAGTACCCAGATATCTGGAATCACAGCATACCCACACCAAGCCACAGTCATACTAGGGAATGCAGTGGTTGGAGACCATGGCAAGGCCAAAACTATTCCAAACATGTGCCATAAACCTACAATCTAGATGCCTTTAAAAGTGTTGCTTCCAAGCCAGAAACCAGGTCTGTGCCCACTCCAAGCTAGTTTCCAGCTTCAGAGCATCTTTGGTGTATGGAGGTGGAAATAAAACTGCATTAAGCATAAATTGTGTTTTTAATTGCAATTGAATGGGGTCAGGTTGACAATTAAATAGAATCTGTTTTT